TAGCATGGTAGCGTTAGCATGGTAGCGTTAGCATGCTAACGCTACCATGCTAACGCTACCATGCTAACGCTACCATGCTAACGCTACCATGCTAACGCTTCCATGCTAACGCTCACACTACCACGACGTCTCCACAGATAGGGGAGTAAGCTGAGGGGGGGGGCAACATGCAGGTGAAAGGCTGGAATATTATAATGAGCTAGAGCTAATGACGTCAGAAACTACCCACTCCTGAAACCTCCTTATTTATCTCCTGGATTCAGACTGAGGCGGCCCACAAAAACATGACTGAGTCATTTTTTTTCACTTTGCCTGCTGATAGGCCCTCCACAGTCCCAAATGCACACAATCAAATTATTAAAAACTTGGTTTTGCATAATATGTCCCCTTTAAAGGGGAGTCTTGGTCTCTCTTTTGCCCACCTGTTCCCATCATCTGCATGTTGACCATGGCTCTGGACCCGGCCGGGGGGGGGCCTCCTCGCGTGGGGAGGGCGGGGTTCATGTTGGGGACCATGCGGCCGACTCCCTGCCCCATCATCGGCCCCTGGGGGCCCCACATTTGCTGCATGGAGGCCCTGACACCTTAATAAGGAGAAAAAACACTTATTATAGGAACTCTACGCAACAATTTCTGTCAAATCAGAGACTTTTGGTTGATTTTATTGACGATATTTTCCGTTTAACTCATCGAGTGGCAGCCATTTTCAGAACAGAGAGTCCCATACTGCCAGAGTTTTTTGAGCATTTTCACAGATTTTTCAAGAGCCACAGAGTAGTTTGTGCTGTGACTATGTAAACACCGAACACATCAAAAGAAAGAGTAGACTCTCTTCTTTCATCAGGAAAAAAAATGTGTTTCTACCTTATTCCGTTCTTCCTGGACTTGCGTCTCACCGGCGACATGTTCTCTCATAGAACCGTTACCTTTTTCTTATTTGCCTACAGTCTATGCTCATCTCCCATCAAAAGTGGCACTGCCCCCTAGAGGGTCAATTTGTTACTACATACTCTGTCTAGAAGCCTGATATTTACGGACAAGCTTTAGC